ACATGAGCGAGAAAGTCTTTCAGGATGTTTTTTTTTATTTGTGTGTGTGTATGTGTGTGTGTGTGTGTGTGTATACAAGAGTGTGCCTGCATGTGCAGAAGCCAGAGCAGTGCTAAATGTCTTCCTTCTGTCAAGGACTTGCTACCTTGAGATAGAGTCTCTTGGTGCTTTAGCTACTTACTAGCTAGTGAAAAAAAAATACTTCTTTAAAAATAAAGATAAAACATAAAACATCATTCAATGAAGGGAAATAAAAGGAGTTTTTTTTTTCTAAGTAAATCCATCCTTAAAGAATTGAAAAGGAAAGTTCTCTAAAGGAAATAAGACCATTATAAAGGAAGACTTGGAATTTCACAAAGAAAAGAAAACCAGAATAAGCAGAAAATAAAATAAATCAGTAAAAATGTACAGGACTAAATACAATGAAATACTCTTCTTCTCCTTCCTTAAATAATTTTTTAGATTGGGACCAAAAGTAATGGGTATTGTTGCAGCATCCACAGACACCTACCATCATACTCTCCAGATCTTACTCTCTCATGGCTTGTTTGGTGATAACCCACTGTGCTTTTGATTTGCATTACCATGTATTCTTTTGATAAATATCTATTCGGATTTTTCATCCATTTCCTAAGTGGATGATTTAATTTTTATAAAATTTTTGAGTTCTTCACATATTTTAGAATATTAACCCTCATCAGATACTTACTTTGAAAATATCTTTTCCTGTCTATAGCTGTCTCCTTCCTGGGCTGATAGTTTCTATTGCAGAACAACCAGCTTTTAGTTTGATAAAATTCCCTTAATCTGTTTTCATTTTTCTCTTATTTTTGAAGTCATATACAAGGAAGTTCTTATCTAGATCAAAGGTCAAGAAGATTTGCCCATATTTTTTCACAGTTTTGCATCTTTATCCATATTGAGTTGATTTTTTACATGAGAGACAAGGATACAGTTTCAATCTTTTGAATGCAAATATTCAGTTTTCCCAACACCATTTATTGAAGCCACTGTCCTTTCCAAAAAGTATATTTCTGACAATTGTGTTGAAAATCAGTTTGACCAGAAACATATGGGTTTATTTCTGGGCTTTCAGCTCTGTTCCAACGATCAGTTCACCTCTTTCTATGTTTCAGTTGCTACAGCCTGGTAGACACAGTGAAGTCAGGAAGTGTGATGCCTTAAAACTTTGCTTTTGTGCGTGTGTGTGTGTGTGCGTGTGTGTGCGCGCGTGCATGCACATGAGAAAGAGAGAGACAGTCAGACAGAGACAGAGATAGACAGAGACAGAGAGACAGAGCAGAAACAGTAGGTACTTTGTATGTTCCCATGCATATGCAGACCAGAATTCAACGTGAGGTGTTTTCTTCCTCAGAGTGCTCACTTGTCTCCACTCCCTAACACTGTGACTGTAAGTGTGTACCATCATGCCTGGCATTTTTATGTAAGTTCTGGAAGATTGAACTCAGGTCCTCATGCTTGTATGACAAGCACTTTACCAACTGAGCCATCTATCCAATCTGGGTTCTTTAAATTCAAGATTGCTTTGATTATTTAACATTGGAGGGCGATGCTCCACATGAATTTTAGGATTACATTTTGGAATTTGAATTGATAAAGATTGCATATAATCTGTACATAAATTTTCATATGAAATATGATTCTAACCTATCATAATGCCATTTATTTCTGTTGTCCATGCAAAAGCATAATTCCCTCAAAGGGCATAAGAGTTCATTCTGGAGCCAAATATGAGTGACCATGATCCGGGAACACAGATACAGGTTGCCCCAAATTCCGTGTTCCACTGCGGAAGCAGTTTCAAGAAGTTTTTATAGTAACAGATCAAAGAAAAGTCATAAATCAAGACATTTTTCAAATACATTGGTGGATACATTCAGCAGGCAGGTCATAGAAAAGCAGGGGGAAATTTTACTATGGGTTTCAGATGCTACTTGATGACAGTCTTAGCTTTTTGGTTGGTGGGACTTGTTGGTTTGTTAATAACAACCTTTCAAAAATGGTTTTGTCTGTTAATCATGGGATGTCATGTCAGAAACAGAAATGGGCAAGGAAATGGCTATTTAGGGGCTAAGGGTAGTCTGAGATAAATGGCAATTAGGCCTTCGACCTGCAATATTCCAGACTCTCCACAATCTCTGAAGCTCTAATCAGTTAATCGGCCTTGCAGAAAAAGTCCAGTTTGAAGATTCAAGGTTTTTCTGGAAACTTTCATTCACAGTATTTATTTCCATTTCTTTCATCGATATTCTATGCTTTTTTAGATGTTCCATGTTTAATACTCCTTTTACAAATGTAGGATAAGGAAGATTAACTTGATGCATTTCTTTAACAATGGAAGTTATCACTGAAAACTGATAGAAACATGACAGCCTCACAAGATTCAAGGTCAAACTCAGAACTGCATCTGTGACCACAGCTAACCTGACTTTATTCCCGTTGACTGTCACTGGGCCTTTATCCTCCTAGGTATCTATCATAGTTTGCTTTCTGTTCTTTTGACAAAACACTGACCAAATCATCTTGGGGAGAAAAGGATTTACTGCATGTTACTCTGCCAAGTAAGAGTCCATCACTGAGAGAAGCCAAGGCAAAGGAGTTTAAGCAGGGCAGGACCCTGGATGCAGGAGCTGAAGCAGAGACAGTGAAGGAATGCGTCTTACTGGCTTGCTCTCCTGGTCTGTGCTCAGCCTGCTTTATTTACAACTCAGAACCACCTGCCCAGGGGGAATACAACTCACAGTAGCTGAGCCCTCCCACATCATTCAACAATCAGTATTTAACTTCTTATGGCTTTATAACTATGTTCACTTTATTGATAATACAAATAGAGCAGTGCAGATATTTTGTTTTTATAACAATGCATGATTTTCATGGTGTAGTTAGATATAGTTATTTTCACATATTTAATTTTTTAAATTGAGCTTTTGCAAAATGACTTTTGCAAATTTCATACATTTTTATTGTATTTAATCCCCTCCCCTATCTGATCCCTCCTTAACACCACCCCCAAGTTCATGTGCTCTATTATATATATAATATATATTATATATATGCCTATATAGAGTCATATTTGTGTCCCCAAGTGGCTTTGGTGTGGGTCGATCCACTGGAGACTTTTGAACCTACCAAAGCTCACACCTTTAAAACAGACTGACTCTCTATCCTCCAGCAGTTATTGGTTGCCAAAAGTTACCCAACTATATAGTTGGGGTTTATTACCCACCTCCCTATGTCTATGCTGGGAATTTTTCTTGCTTGAGCTTATGTGTAACTTGTACATGATGTCACCATTGTTGTGAGATCATATGACAACCACGCAGTTTCCTAGAAAAATTTTCTTTTGTGGTCATCCACCATCCCTGGCTCCTACAATATTTCTGCCTCCTCTTCCACAATGATCCTTGAGCCTGGGGAGACAAAAGTTTGATAGAGGTGTCTTATTCAGGGATAAGCACACTGCAGTCTCTTATTCTCTGCGCATTGGCAAGTTGTAGGTTTCTGTGTTAATCACCATCTGTTGCATATGTTCTCTTGTGAGTATATAGATACATTAATCTGTAGGTATAACAATAAGTCATTAGGCATCAGCTTAATACTATATCTACTTAGCAGAATAGTAGTAGTAGGGTCTTCCCCATGACTTCTGACCCGCCTAACCAGGCCTGACCCTAGGCCTGATATCAGTGTCAAGTATGGGTTCCATCTTATGAAGCAAACCTTAAATCCAATAGAAAGTGTTTGGCTTTCCCCATAATGTTCATGCCACTATTACACCAATGGGCATATATTTTCTGGCCAGTTGCTGTACCTCACAGGATTCATAACTGAGTAAGGATGATGATCAATTTTCTCTTCTAGTAGTACTCACTATGAATGCTAGCCAGTAAAGATGAAGCTTTGAGGTCAGCACCAGTTTTATTTCTTCTTGTTGGTTCTACATCTCATTTTTAGTGTCTTTGCAACAGGGTCTTACCATCAAGTTCTGGTGGACAATCAAGAGCAGAGGAAATGGCCAGTATGGTTTGAGGGTCTATGGGACCCCTGGTCAACAGCTTGAAAAGAAGTAGCCCATTCCTGGCAGTGAACTTTCATTTTGCTAGCCTATAGTGTCTAGTAGGGGCAATATCCCCCTTTTATAAGATAATTTTATGCCTTTTATCATGGAGATATTTTCCTTTCTTGATTGAATTTATTTCCAGTTATTTTAGTTTTTGTAGCTATTATGAATAGAATATTATTGGTTTTTTGATAGTTTACCATTAGCATGAAGAAATGCTAATGATTGGGGATAAACAGATGGCTCAGGGGTCAAAACCACTTGTTGCAAGCAGAGGCCTCAGACTAAGTTCACAGCACATACATGGCATGAATAACTCCAGCTCCTGGAGATGCAGTGCTTTCTTTTGGCCTCCACAGGCACCATACACACATGTGGTTCACATACATACATACATGCAGGTAAACACTTAAACACATAAAAATAAATAAATCTTTTTTAATTATACTAATGTTTTAAGCATATTTTTATTTTGAATTGATTTAAGAATGTGAACTGTATGTGGGATACAGTGTAACATTTAACAGCAATGTGTCTTGGTCAGATCAGGGCAATGGGTATGTCCATCATCAAACATTTTTATTTCTTTGAGGTGGGAAAATTTTAAATCCTATTTGCTGTTTTGAAATGTATAATCAATTGGTGTCAACCACAGCTATCTTATGGGGTTGTACAATATTACAGGACATTTCTCTGGATAACTGTCCCCTTCTACTTGTTCCCATCCTGTCTCGACTCAACCTTACGTTTCCCAGCCCTACATAATCACTATTTTACTCTCTAGTTTCTTATACCTCTCTCTACTTGTATGTGATCATGTGTATTTTAGTTTCCTCCACATAAAAGTGAAGGGCATGGTATGTGCATTTCTGTGCCTACATTGTTTCTCTTAACATACTATACTATGGTTCCAGCCATGTTTCTGCAAATGACAAAATTTCATGTTTTTATGGGTAAATGACATTCCATTGGGGTATACATATTTTCTTTCTCTGTTCATTTACTCAAGACTTAGTTTTACTCTGTTGCTACTGAGAAAAAAATGCTATAATAAGCCAGCAGGGGTAGATGTCTCAACTGTTAATCTCATTTCCTTTGGGTACATATCTTACAGGAGTATTTTTGGATAATATTATAGTTCTACCTCTATTTTTTTGAGGAACACACATACTGTTTTTGATAAGGGCTGTACTAATTACATTCCCACCAAAAAATATGAGAGTTCTTCTTTCTCTGTAATGTCTTGGTATTTGATCTTACTTATTTTTAACTTTTTGACATAGCCATTCTAATTGGAATGAGATGTTTCATTGTGGTTTTGACTTGCATTTTCTTAATTATGACTGATGTTGAATTTTTTTTCATTCATTATATGAATGTTTGGGGGCTGCTGATGAAGTTTTTAGTTCCTCATATATTTTTGTTATTAATTTCATATTGCCCAAATCAATGTGTTTCTAAGCAGAGGTAGGAGGGAACTTCCTCCAAAGTGACCCAAGAAAGAGCAAAAACCATTAGATACGACACTTCTATAAGTGATAACCTCCCAGTTCGGAGGGCAGGGCACCCTAAGTAAAGAGATCTAGTTCCCTGTTGTTTTCTTATAGTTTTTCTCTTCTCTAAGGGCCAAGGAATCATCATAGGCTCCAGCTAGAGTTCGAGTATTCCAGGTGGAACTCTTGCTGCTGCATCATTTCTGTAGGCTTTCAGAGCGAGAGCGTGAAGCCAGAGAACTCCAGGTTTGCCTGTTGCTGATGTCTTCCTCCTTAATTCACTTTTGAGAAATTATTCTTTCTTACTCTTTAGGTTTTCACAAAAATCAAAGAAGCAGCCTTCCTCCATCCCTAATGGACTCATCTCAAGGGGGTTAGATATAATTCTGCTCTTTTAAGATTTCAGGTGGCAAAATAATCGTATTCCTCTAAAAACCACTATGTCAGATTGGCTCAGATACAAGGGGGAAAATCTTCACATTTCAACTGGACTCAAAAATGCAAGTCCTAAGTGAAAATGGACTTGATGATATATTTTACATTGTGCAATATTTCATTGAGTAGTGCTTAAGAGGTGATAGAAATCATCCTGTTTTTCTAAGTGTTTTGGTGGACAATAATGTTCTACTTTTAAAGACTGAAAATGAGTTTAACTCCTCTAGCCTTCCAAAAGTAGAGATTTCTAGCATGACACATGAAATGATATCATTTCTAAGGATTATTCTAACTCCAGAAAATAATGAACCATAACTATGTTTCTAAACCAATGTAATGCTTATAGTGCTCTACAAAAGAGCATCATTGAGTCAGATACCGGAGTGGCAGACAAGACTCGTCCTTGGCTCTGATGATTAAATACCATGTGTTCATATTTAGGCTTTATAATAGATTCTAGAACTGTGACTTGAGGGTAAGGCTAGGGTTAAAGAAGGATCCTATGTAAATAATTATACACAATGAATGGATGTGTGCAAATAGATTAATAAATGAACAGATTTCACACAATGAATCAATTATTTCATTATTTCAACAGTCACTTACATAGAAATGTAAATGAAGCAAAACATCAGTTTTATTTTTTCTTTAAAAGCATCACAAAATTTAGATCAAAACACTCATATTTTTTAAAAGTGGCTTTTTTAATAAAATGTACTATTTTAATAGCTTTATAACTAAATTAGGCAAATTCCATTTATGTACCATTGAAAGAATATATTACATCGTCG